AGAATCCGTTAAAGGAATAAAACTTAGTTATTTTATTTAATGTAATTATAAAATAATACAAAATGCTATTTTTTATTTTTTTATTAAACGCGTCGGACTATCTAAAATATTTAGTGAAGTAATATAATAATGAACTAATAAAGATCGGAACATTTATAATAATGCAACGTACAAGATTGAACTAGAAATTATGCGGAAGAAACGCGAGATAGTGACAAATAAAAATAAACTTAAGGCCATGGAAGAAATGATACAGGTTTTCTATAAATGATTATAGGGTCGAAATAGGTCATGAAAGCGTGCCGCCTATCACTTTATATTTTACTGAATGCCCACGGACGCACGACAAATTCCAATTCATATCTTACATTATTACAAAATAAAACTTACAATAAAAATCAAATTTAGTGTGTTTAAACATCACAATTCATGGTGAAAAATTCACGATTATGTCCAAAACACGTGTTCGAACTCTTGTTCTTATTTGCAAAAATGTTTTACAACATCTCGTCGTCAATGTTTTGTTCAAATTCAGTTTCGAATGTCCCAGTACGATAATAAGACATAACAATGAAAGCGTCTTTTTCAATAGAATAAACCATTTTCACAGTCTTCGCTTCTAAATTTTCGTACGCAAACACCAACAATCTTGAAAACGAACGTTTTGTTGTTTTGAACTTGGCTCTGCGAGAATTAGTCTAATTCACACTTGAAAATCGTTAGAACGATAAAAGCGATAACTTTAAATGACAGGTTGCAAGTGACACCAATGACAAGTGAGAACTGTCATAATGGGACTTTTTAAATTCATGACCAACTGCGCCCTTAGAATCATTTATAAAAGCCCTGTATGTAACTAATTAACAAACATGGAATTAGAAATACAACGAATAATAAGGTAAAACAAGTCGCGATACATGAAAACAGCAAGGAACAAGAAGTCAAAATTTAGTACCAAAAAATTTCATAGATGGAAAGGAATGGATATGGGAAAAAGAAGAAGGATTAAAAGAAAACTACAAAAGAACCCAAATGGAACCAAAAAACTAAGAAGAAATAGTAGGGCAAATAGAAATAGTCCGAACCAGGCAAATGGAATGCATATGAATAAGTAAATGAATAAAACACGGCAGAAGAAAGAGTATAATACTGTAATACAAACGCAAAGGGCGAACAAAGAAAATATAATAAATACAGTAACTTCGAACATACCAAGTATAAAAAGAAAAGAAGAGAAATTGATATAGCAAATGATAAAACATACTATGAATTAAGGAAAAAAAAATACGCAGAAAAATATCAAGAGAGACTAATAAATGCTAAATTAAAGGAACTCGAAAGACTTGGAATAGAAGAAAAAGGGAACGAATTCAAAAATAGCGTACTGGATACAGCAAGAAGCAGCTGTGGAGCTACAAAAATAAACAAAAATATAAAAAGAAAAGAACGATAGACCGCAGAAATAAAACAAATAATCAAAGGGAAAAAGATATACAGGGTGATCCAAAAATGATGGATAAGCTTGATGGTACGTTGTTAAGAAGGCTCTCAAGAACTCGGAAAAATGGTTAAAAATCCCTCAATCAAATTTTTGTAAAAAATAAACTTCAAAGTTGATAAATTAACTTCGTAATTCTGATTTATGTTAATGACTGCGTGTCTAAAAGACAATTAAATAAATTAGTTATTAATAATTTAAGAACAATTTGCTAGAACACGATTTCACAACGTCATTTTTTTTAGTTGACAGATGTCTTTTTTGATAAGTTTCGGAATTTTAGACTGTCACATTAAAACATATCAGAATTACAGAGTTAATTCTTCAATTTTGAAGTTTAATATATTCAAAATTGTGTTTCAAAGATTTTTTTAACTGTTTTTTTGAGTCCTTCATAACCTTCTTAATAACGTAGTTACTATCGAGCTTATCCGTCAATTTTGGATCACAGTATACTAAGATCACTTTAAATACATACTAATAATATTTTACAACTTTAGTCAAAAGCCCAACCCGCAAAACTCTAAAACCATAAATTATCAAGTACGACCGCCAAAGACCGTCTACTTGGGACAACACAGGAAATTCTGTAGGCACGCGACATGGCTTACAAGTCTACAAGGACCCTAATGCGAAAAGCTGATTCTCGCATTGTCAACCAAATAATCCTAATTATGTCATAAAATTTAATAGTACGCAGTTAAAGTGATCTTAGAATATAAATGCAAAGACACCGGAAGAATATAATTTCGAGAGAAAATCTAAAACTACAGAAAAAAAGAAAAATTATTTTTCGGCACCCTTCAGCAGCTAAATCAGAAGAAGGCATATAATAATGACTAACACAAAAGACAAAGATGGAAACATAATCACAGATGAAGAGAAAATAGTGACAGATGGCAACAAGAAGAACATGAGGAACAGGATGAATCATGGGAGACAGAAACAATGCAGCAAGAAGAATTATTATCAGAAGCCATGTAAAAAATAAAAATAAGAAAATCATGTAGGAGAGATAATATAACCCCCGAAATGATAAAAATATATACGAGAAAAAGGAAGAGAATAATTAAACAAGCTCAGGAACCAGATAATACAAGAAATAAAAATGCCTAAAGATTGGATGTTAGGAACAATATTGTTACGTTGTAGGGGTAATTAAAATTGGCGTGGGTAAAACTCAACAATTTGTTTCTTACTCGAATTTACACGACTACCTATTGCACAGATTATGTACAAAAATTATTCCGGCGAATTTCACTGGACGCTCTTGACTCAACTAGCCGAATTCAGCTCTCGTTGTTTTGGCTACACTCGACTCGACGTGATGACTTAATCATCGTTCCCGAAGGTGGATTCTATTTAAACAGCACGCGGTCCTTCTCGAAACGCCTACGTCACCTCTTCTAGACTTCTCCGGAATTCCCATTCGCGACTTCCGTTTCCAGGCGTTTCTATAGCGCACCGTCGCTCGGTCGCATTGAAGATGAATCATCATCGGCGTAAAACCAGAAAGCTCTCGACGACCATAGGCTTCGTACCGGGGCGGCGTAATGCTGTATTTCGTAACAATATTATCGATATATGAATTTTAAAAAGAGTTATATCGGGGTGTTACATTATCAAATATCCCCGGAAAAATATTGCCAAGAATAATTGAAAGAAGAACAAAAGATTAAAACCAGTATAGAAGAAACTCATTCTGGATTTAGAAAGGGAAGAAGCACACAAAACTTAACACTTGTGATTAGATAAATCAGCGAAGAATGTATAAACAAGAACAAAGAAATACATGTTTGTTTTATAGACTTGGCAAAAGCATTTGAGTAGATAAGGCGACAAGACATATAGAAAACATTAGGAAAAAGGCAAATAAATGAAAAAAACAATAAACATTATAAAAGGAGTGTACAAGGAGCACACAAACATAGTTAGAACCAACAAAGAATAACTAAAAGAATTTGAAACTAAGATGGGAGCGAAAAAAGAATGTGATTTCCTTGATCTTCTGCAGTCCGAGAATACAGTGTTAAAATCTTATAAAAAAATCTCCGTTATATAATTTCTGAAATTAACATTAGTTTTTAAAATACAGCAGTTACAAGATCGTAAAATCGAGTTATCTTTCTCTTGTCTGCAAATAAAGTAAGAGTTATTACTGGAAAGCGAGCTCTTGCGACTAGGCCGACAACACCACTGCTATAATGCACTTGAACCTCGCGTCGGTGCAATTAACCTTCAGGTGGCCAACTGTACGGTACAAAAACGGGTTAATTTTTTCTTCAAATTCACGCATATCCAGCGGCTTTCAAACTACACATTACATATAAAGCGCAAATATACAAATTCAGTGTTATGGAAGAAAATATTGAGAGAACAATGACCGACTTGAAGGTTACCCTCATGGGTACTATCTCTGGTCATTTCTGTTTCAGCTAATTTGCTACAAACCGCTAAAAAAGTGAGGGACACAGTCCGAACAAAAATTAGAATTTTTAGATACATTTTAATTTGAATAATGAATAAAGAATAAAAAAACATACACACATAGCTACAAAAAATAAATTGGAGCCGTAGGATTATTCTCATGTAATGAAACAGAACAAGTATGATGTACGAAACAAACAAATTTACTTTGATTATACTTGTAATGTGAGTTAAACAAAGCCACAAATTTGAAAACATTGAATGGAGGTAAAACGCTTGAAACTAACGCACCGTTATAAAACCCTGTTTAGATTTTTCAATCAAAAATAGAACGACTTTTTCCAGTATCACATGGTTTAATCCAGCATTTGATAAAAATTATTCCCTAAATTGCTTTTTAAGTGTGTCCATCAGTATTGATTTTAAGTACAAAAACTGAGAGCTATTCCAGTGGCTACAAACTGCAACCTGCAGCTTTGTAATGACCCAATAATTCTCTTAAATTGTAAGTGTGAACATTTTTCCAAAATCTAAAAAAAAACAAATTATCGTCTGCGATAGTCAACAAAATGGAGGAAATTTGTCACGGTGTGAACAAAATTACGAAGTGTTCGCAGATGCACGTTGTCGAACAACGACAAGCGTTACATTAAAGAAAATAGGCTTAGTATAATTACTTAAGTATTATTAGAGTCGATGGATTTGGGATTACTGCCTGTAATTTTTTTTTCCAGATGTGTTATGTTGACTGTAGCCATCAACATGTCGACTATAATTCGTTTCTAAGTATTTGATCTTTTGGTACAATATGGTTGATGATTTTGCTCCACAATATATTACTGAGACCCTGTATATTACTTGTTGAAAAGATATTGCGAGGACATTTAAAATACAAAGAAATTAGATGTACACCACTCTTCTTAATCTTTAATTTCAAAGAAGTAGATAATTTTCACTTTATATAATTTGTGAAAGAAGTCATTAGCAAATACACAGCAACGCCTAAACGCCTCCCTCTCCTGTTTACGTTATGCAGATTTAAAAAATATGCTAATTAGAGCCTGTTTTGTTCCAGTCGGGTAAAGTCCACTTCAGCTACATATATGGCATAGGAGTATTAGGGTGTTTGTCGATGTGGGCTCTGTTGAGCCTGATGTCGGCTCAAGGTGTCACCATAGGCACTGTAGTGACGGTTCTGGGTTACTGCCTCCTTCCAATGGTCGGCCTCTCTGGAGTGAACGTAATCCTGAGCTTACAGTAAGTTTTGGAATTTCCAAAGAGCTTTTCTAATCTATGTTTGTTTTTGTAGAGGCTACGTCGGCATTGTGTTGACCAGCGTGGCGATTTTGTGGTGCAGTCTTTCGGCTTCCAAACTGTTTGTCACCGCTCTGGCCATGGATCATCAACAACCCTTGGTGCTTTATCCCTGCGCCCTACTTTACGGTGTTTTCGCTTTGATTACAATTTTTTAATTCTCAGCAACCCCATCATCGTTATTAAATGTAAAATGCGTCCTCCGCACAACTGCGCTGCGCCACGAGATCCTAATTAATTATTAAGGGCAAATATTTGTTTTGTAGTAATGGTCTGCGTGATCATTTATGTCAGGAAAGGTGTATTCTTGCAGTATTGGAATGTTTTTCTTTCATCAATTATTCAGATATTAACACTGTTAACTGATGTAAATGAAATTATCATATTTATTATGCGTGTTTTTTTTGTTTTACATTTCCTTTACATTTTATATATATTATTATATATTTTGTTATAATCAAACATTTTAATTTTTTTTTTCATTAAAAACATTACAGTTAAATGTAGAAACATTAAATAATAAGATTTATATTTTTCCAAACATTAATGTAACGTTTAGCATGTTTGCTACGCTTTTTTACTGTTTGAATTCACTTTTTTTTATGCTATATTACTTTCTTGGTGCAGAAATATTAGTCTTTTTCAAATAAAAACAGATTTATAGAAGTAAATTCTTTCATAAAAGTTCGACCTTGCCGACACATTTACGTTTTTTTTTTGTAACAATTGCTTGTTGTTCTTTGATAATTAGAAAATTTTAAAAATTTAGCCAGTACACTCGCTAAAATACTAAATAAACGATAAATCATGTACCATATTTTACTCAATAAAATTTTTTCACATTTAAAAATTAAAATTTAATCGATGATTTAAGAGACAGCTCTGAGTTCAAAATATTGTATTGGGTGTGTAATTAATAAATTATTTCCAACCACAATATTATTAATTGACATTAATTATTGATCATGCAAAACTTAAAGACTTTTATAACAAGACAATTTCAATGCAGCTACTGTCAAGAACTACAGCACTGCTATAAATAATTTTTCTGATTTTCAACCACGAGTTTCTTCCTTTATCCGAGTTAATAGTGCTTTTGACCACCTATTCTAATTTTGGCCACTCCAAACAAAAATTTGTGAACACGATCTGTCTCTGACAATCATCTCCAAAACTAAACCGTGCCATTTTAAAAAGGAACCATGTTCTACTCTCTGATCAAAATCCCATTTAGAAAATTAGAAATACAGGTTCCAAGGTAAGTCTCCGTTTTCCTTCGGCTCTTCAAAAATTTTCTATTTATCATACTTCATCTTGTTCTTCGATCATTCACATTGATAAAAACTTCTTATAATTTATTTCTCGTTATCGCTATCTATTTTATAGTGTTGTCGCTTTCATTACAGTTTGTATTTACGTAGCATACGTTTTCGCCCCTAGAATGCTAAGACGTGCTTTTCCTATGTAAATACAGTGTGTCGGACGAAGACAGAAGCAGAAACATACCATATGTCATAATTGGTACAGTTTTACAACACTTTGCCGAAATTAAAAATTCTACTGTTATGTAGTCTTAGGGCCTTTTAAAATTTACATTTTTAAATTTTTAGTATTAAATACAGCGGAATTTATCGTTCAATGAAAATTACTCGATTACCGAAAATTCATGAAATTTTTTAATTATGTAAATTAAGGACGAAAAAACTAGGCCTTTGTACCGTAACCTTTTGAAACTGGGGCTTGTATTATGAACTACTTACAGCGTCTGTCGGTGCCAGTCTTACTTATCCATGGAATAACTAAAATATTGAGTATTTTTTTACGTGTAAAAAGCGAGAGGTCACAAAATACGTCTGTTTTTAAACCCATAAATATTAAAAAATATATTTGTTTCTTAAATCGATATGTTGTATTTCCATTCATGAATTGTTAACGTGTACAAGGCAGCATATGTAATGGTTTTTCAGCATTTGTTGATAAGACCGAGAAGGAGAAAGCCGATATTCCTGGCCTATTTACCGATTTTATCAGACGTTTGTGGAATGATGGTAAAAATATGTAACCTCGAAAGCAAAGAAGAGCACGATATGATGGCAAAAGACACAATTGAAGCGGAAAAAAATTTATCTGCCTACAAAATTGAAACGAGGTAGGCAGAGAAAACGTTTTGATGTTAAAAGGATTATTGCAGTTCACTGCATATAAAAATCAACAAAATAATTTATTATGTGGGTAGGGTCGGTGGCAGATAATTCTGTACAATGTGTTGTAAAAGATTTAATGTGTTTTCCGTAAAAGTAAGACGATATTAACCCTAAACTTAATGGCGCTTTTCAGCTAGGTAAATGTCTAAGTCTATAACCTGGAAAAAATGAATTGGCCCTTCAGAAATCGTAAAAAAGTTTACATCAAAAATTTTAGAAGCCGAAAATCTCTGACGGATGTTTTTGCGGAAAGCAATAATAGTAAAGTTCGAATATACCAGAAATGAAAGGAGAATCTGTCGTGGAATTATTATTGCATGATTATTCTGTTCTTTGATAAAGTTAACCTTTCAACCGGATGAAACTGCGAATCTTGGCATTTAAATTTTATTTCCTGCGCTGATGTTAACATCAAAAAAATCATTATGATTGCGGAGGAAAACAAAATTATTCATTAAACTGTCGTATCGAATTATATTCAAGCTTGTTCTGTCTTCTAGGATGATTGCATTTTTAAATCCAAATATAGATTCTCGTAAATATATATATTCCACAAATATCAGATAAACGACAGATAAAGTGACTCGTCCGCGAATTCATCTTTTCATCGGAAACAGTTTGTCTCGTCTGATACTAAGCAACCCAATTTTCGTTTAAAGTCTACAAAATTATTTTCACAGAACTTCCTTTCTGCTGAAACACAACGAAAATTGTATGTATGTCAGGATGTATTTATCAAGAAAGGTTTGGAATGGTCAACATCTTGAAAAGAATAAACATACCTATCGATTTTTATATATACAATATAACGTTTACCACAACATTATTGCTCCCACAATTTCAAGGAAATAACAACCATTTCTGAGATAGTCGATAAAATGAATCGTTTGATATCTATAAGTACATGGCATATCGTATTTTAGCGTGTTTTTCAGTCGGTTGTCTGAAAGGGATGAATAAATAAATTTAAGTGTTCGGTCAAGCAATATTTAACCAAAATTTCGCAGAACTTCAAAGTGTTGTTTCTAAGGTCAAATATAAAATTTAACGATGAAAGTTTTTCATTTTTACAACCTCAATACAAACTGTGGAAAGTCAGACCAATTAACGCCGTTTGAAAAAAAAATCTGTCTCAAAATTTTCAAGAATTATGAACTTCTAACTCATGTGACCAATAATTTTTTGCGTCGGTGTGTAGTAGCTCTCATGGTGCTTACAGTAAAATGGACACGAAGTGCCATCATGACGACTTAAAACATTTTCTGCAAAAAACTTGCGCAGTTATTCATGAAAACAAAGGATGAAGATATATCTCTATGTCGTTTAGTGGGCCCCCTTTATTCAGTCCCCTATGGCGCCTGTTTGTATTCCTCTCGCTAACTCCTCTTTAAAGTATTCAACCGGAACGCGCATTGAGTTGTTCAGGATAATCATTTCTGGTGCCAGCTATAAAACCGGTTTTAAATTTTCCGATCTCGAGTTCGAGTTTGCAATCACTGGAGCACGGGTGGCTCAGACGGGCATTAGTCAAAATTGTGTGAAAAAATAAAAGATTGTTCGACTAATAAAATTTTATGTGGAACACAACAATTACGAAAAGTGTTTTAACAAAATGTGGGGTATACGTACTATATATATTTGATTAAAATAATCAAAAAATCCAAAAAAGAAAAACCAGTTTGTTATAAGACTGAACAGAAAATTTTATTTTTCTGTGCTGCGTTTATGAAAGTACAAACTGATTTCGTTTCTCATAGATTTTAAAAGAATTTGATACAGTTATTTAAAAGTTCATTGTCATCAACAGTTCTAAAATTTCTTTTTAATCTAATTTGGTGAAAAGTGCTGGATCTTCTAGCCCAAATTTCACTTAAAATTAAGCCATGAAAGGGGTCTCAAAATACCGTTGAGACGCAGAATACGATAATAATCAGTTAATCACCCTACACACATATACATCAAAAACGAACTCGCTTCTAAAACTAACCACTAAATCAGTCTACAAAATGGCAGTTGTCTGACCACAAGTAATGCCACCTAAAGAATTAGCAGACAATATTTTCTAAATTTACTGTGTGTTTAATATAAGGTATTTTTTTTATTTTAAGAGATAAAATAAAAAAAGTACAACAAACTCGGTTCATAAAACTTTTATGGTACCCGTCCTTTAGAAAATGCGTCCTTACGCGACTAAACTTGGATGGGTGTGATAAAACTTTATCTTGTGCTACTCGTTTTTTACTATACTTTTACTATACATTATATTCATCGCCTAGAATTTAAACTTAAATTTTGTTTACCATCTTAGAACTGGTTCTTAATTTCAAAAGAAAATTACATTAACGAAAAGTGCAAGTAGTGTCTGAAATCAAATAGGCTAATCTATAATGATTCTAAATGTACATCATTTTTGTGATTGCGTTTAGTGAAAAATGTTATTATTTCTCAAAAATGTAAAGACTTCGCATGTTAACAAATGAATTAAGAATGAAAACAGAATTAAACCATCATTAAGGGTGGTAACAAATTCGAACATATTGTTCTTGCTGTTTTTTCGACAAACTTTTTGATGGCGGATTGGACGTTTTTAGTTCTCTTTTACATTATTTATTACATATTCTAAGAAGGAAAAATTTTATTTTTGGGTCAAATAAAAGACCACAAAAAGTGTTTCAGTACATCAAAACATTTTTAAATGAACACAGTGAATGAACATGAAAAATAAGAAAATTTTGTAATGAAGAAACTAGATGTCTTGGTGGAAGTGGTAAACAAAGACAATTGGAAACAAGTAATCCAGGAGTTTTCAGAAGAGGCCGACACTTTTATACAATAAAACCTCTGCAATCGACAGACGTGAATTCAGAAATGTCCGTTATGGAGAGGTATCCGTTATGAGAGTTTCAGAGTAATAATTGTGTACATTCAGTAAATAATTATTGAAATATGTTTAATTAACTATGCATATACATGAAAACGTGAGCGAAAAAAATAAATAGAGTAAGCTTTAACCGATACAAATCGTATGATAACTATCAATGAAAAATGACATTAATTGTTAATTTCTCAAAATTACTTTGGTCAACATAATCTCACATTCTTATCTGATTCTTTTTTTAGAATTCATAATCGAAGATTCTGCTATTCTGCTTGAGAAATTATTTCAGATAGCTGAGGCACAATTG